GTGGGGGGGGGGGGGGGGGGCAAACAGGGCTCAATTTAAAAGTATCTTGTTAATTTGTTCTCATCACGGAATAATTTTTTCTAATATATCACTTTAATTGGTTACATATCTTCGAGCAATGGGAGGGACGGGGACCAGTGAGGTAAAGTGCCTGGATTTTGGAACTTTATCACAATCATATTCATGCACGATATCCTGCCTACTTTAAAAATCAATCAGCCTTCTTCATTTTGAAGTGGGGCATTTGTGGGTGACAATGATCAAGCATTATCTTTGAGATGCACATTTGAGTCATGTCATCTTGATTTGATTGATAGCAAGTTCAACATGACACAACTCGGTAATAATATATATGCTCAATATCATGTGAGGTGTGCAACTACATGGCCATACCCGTGTTTCGCGTGACTTGAAGCCAACTTTAGAATCCGAACTCCAAATCGTAATAGGCAATCAAATTTTTTCTTTTATAAGAGTTTTTTACATAACCGAATTTGTTAATTTAAAATCAACAATAGAATAATAAATAAAATGAAAAGATGTCATCAACTCTTTCGTGACTCATTTCAACTAAAAAGTCCATCATCTTTTGATTAATATTAATGTCCTTCCAATTTTCAGAATCGTTGAAAAAAAAAAAATTCTATTGATTTAAATCTTCGTGCTAAACGTTATCTTCATCATTTTGTTTTGATTCATTAACATTGACATGTTCAATCATTTCCTCGTTCTTTTTCGATTCATCCACACCATCATCATCGTTGTCATTCTGATTATGTTGTTCCTCAATCACTAAATTTTTCGATATTCCTTCATTTTCTTTTCTATTCTTGTCATTAAATTACTTATCCATATCTCCTGGCATGACTTCGAATTAATGCTTCTACTCTTTCTTTCTACTTTTTTGAGCTCCAGACGCATATTTAAGAGTCATGGTATTTGATTCACTTGTTTGACATTTTGCCTCTTTCCTAAATATTTCATTCCATTAGTACATAATCAAAACAAGATTTTTGTTTCTATTCTACAATACGGTTATCAAATATCTATGAAGCCAGATTTGTAAAAAAAAATAAAAAAATCCAAACAATCTATAAACAGAAAATGGAAAAAAAATTAAAAATAATCAATGGTTATCAATATTTCTAACTTAGCTATAGTGGGGGAGAATATTCTTCCATTACATGTGTATGGTAAGTACACTTCGTACTCATAATGAATTCAATTTCACATAAAATAGAAAATAAACTTCTTATTTGCAAAAATGGTTAAATTTTATACATTTTCTCATTTTGCATAGGGCTCGCAGCCTTTAGAGGAAAAATAAACTGTTATTGCAACAACAATAATGATATATAATCCAATGTCATAAATATTTTCATAATGTAACATAATGAAAAGGAAAAAATAAATTACATCATATTTAACCATATATTGCTTCCAATTACCCCATATAAGGCAAAAATTCACATTAATTAATAACGGATCATAGATCGAAAAAAAAAATTCAATCCCACGCACAAATCAATGATCCGATCAATAAGATTTTGAAAAAATGTAATTGAATTTAAAGACAAAACTTTACAGTAATCAATTAAATATATATAATCTATAAATCAAAGCAATTAAAAAAATTAAGGTTAATACACGATCAGATCAACAAAGATATGTGTAACGATGCATAAATATATACCGAGAGTGTGTTATACCGTGGAATGAGTATTTGTAATCCAAACACCGATCGTGTGACTCACGATATTATTGTTGAAGAAGCCTCATTGTTTGGAGCAATCGAGTAGAGTGGACGACTATCAATGGCTGTCTTCCTTTTTTTTAAAAAGGAAACAAAATTTTTTTTAGGCCCTTTAAAGAGTTGGGCCTGAGGCGGTAGCCTATTCGGCCTCTCCTCAGGTTCGGCTATATGCAAGTGCGCATATAGGTAGAGCTAGGGTTTCGCTATTCGACTTGTTGAAGGGTGGCGACATGGTCGAACTCTGGATAATCTGATTAAGTTCCCGAAAGTCCAAGTTCAGAGGGACTCCGAGAGGCCACTTGGCGAACAATTGAGAGCTTAAGTGCCTTCACCGTCATGTTGGTACTCACGCATAGGCTTTGATGATTTCAGGGTGTAAGAAAACACAAAGCCGAGTCTTCGTCCACATTTTACTCTCTTTTTGAACTTTTGAGAAAAATTCAATTTAACATAGTCCTCTCTTTAAACTTTCACCTATGGACAAACAATTGGTTTCATATCAATACGTTGACTTAAGGCACTTTCACCTATGGACATCAAAACGGAACTCTTCTACAGGAGAAGGATTTCATCGATGAAATTCGAGCTATAGCAATGGAAAATATCGTCATTGTTAACACCTTTTCTGGTAGTGATGCATCTTTATCAAATATGGTCTGTCCAGTCCCAACACAGTCCAAGAACTAACTATATTAAATATGGTCTGTATGCATTTCTTGAGGCTGCAACTAAAAGAATCTACGAGATTTGAAAGTGGAACTCCATATATAAGCATTTCTCTTTAGGATAATTCTTGTTATACATCGCCTTATACATCAAGGTATTCATAATGGACACTCGGCACCCTCTCATTGGAGGGAGTGCCGACCCCACCAACTCTCCCTCCAATGAAAGAGCGCCAGGTGTCCATTATGTAGACCCTTATGTTAGTGGTGATGTACCACTAGCATTACACTATTATTATTATTATTATTATTATTTTGGCAATGAAAATAAATTTCATAATCAATTGTAAAAAAAAAATGATGTACCACTAGCATTACCCTTCTCTTTATTGGTTACAAAATTGTCAATGTCATTTAACTTGAATGGAATGATCAAGTGATTTATACGAGTAAGCGAATTTAACTTAAATCATCATGGTGAAGAAATTCAGAAATTGAACAAGTTAATTAAGTACTCATTTGATATGATTGGATCGATTCTTATTAAATCGATCTTTCACGAAATTAAGCATAAACTAGAAATTAACTAACACCACCGTACACAAACTTCTTTAGCCTCTCCGATATCCTTGAAGCTTCATCTTCTGGTGCAGACGTCTCTCCAAGCTTAAGGATCAAAGAAAGAAAGAAAAGAAGAAAAGGGTTAAGCGGTCAGAGAGAACTAATTACCGAATTCACTTAAAACTTATCTTCGACAAAGAAGTCATAAGCAATTTAAGAATACACACCCGCACATTCATGTATGTGAAATTGCTATGTACCTTTGAATGTATTGTGTGTAAAACGGTATCATCTTTGATAGAAAAACTGGCTGCGAGGACCTCAGCACCTTCTTCATGAAACATACGAATAATTTCACTGGACATGAATTGACAATCCAATCCAGTTATTAAAGCAACCTCCATAGCTAAACCTGTTACATGAATCTCAATGTTTGGTAATTTCAGCCCTCCCCTTGTTGAACTACTGCACTTTCCCACGCCAGACAAGCAATCCCTCTTCTGTTTGATTTTCTCCAAACTAATCTGCAAACTTTTAATGTAATTCGCAGCTTCTCCAAGTTGATCCGGTAGAGACAATGCTTCCTGCAAAATCCACATAGAATTAAAGTTTACTAGAGACTTGAGTACTGGACATAGGACAGTATAATGAGCAATATTTTCTTTTTTCTTCTTTGATACTATATAAATCGTTTACATGGGTCTTCGTGTGTGCAGAGATGGAGCCAAATTTCATGTATGTGATGTATCATGTATAAAAAAGATACAGAAATGGAGTAAGAACCCTAGAATTTTGATGGGGCAGTAGAGAACTGAGCTTGGAATAGAGAGACTTCATTTGATTTCTTCTATTTTTCTCTATAGTCTTTCTGTCTGCTTTGGAAGAACTAGGGTTTTGATCCATCAATAAATGTATATTTTTCTCAAATAGCTAATTCCTGAAGGAAGATATTAATATTTGAAGCTCTCCAAAAATTGGGCAGACAACTGTGAACTGTGATAAAGAAAAAAACAGGACAGACATAATTATTCCTGAAGAAGAAAAGTAGTGATATGACTTGAGACGTATCAAGAAAGTGAGGGCACCTGTGGGTAATTTTTTTTTTTTGGGTATTTTCAAGAATGTCCACAATTAAGGGTATGAGTTGAAAAATGTCCAATTTTCAAATTTAATACTAAAGTATCTATTATGCCCTTAATGAAAAAAAAAAGGACATTTGAATCTCTACATATTCTCGACATTTAAAATGTCATTCTCGACATTTGAATCCCGTTTTATATTTCAATAGTACACAATCAAATCACAATATTAAATGTTCTCGACATTTCAAAATGTCATTCTCAACATATTAAATATCTAGAAGAATAATGCTTTGTGTACAATCCATGGTTGACAAGGAATTTGACAATCCATGTTAATTCAAATTCGAATGAGCGGGAAAATGTGTGGTGTTTAAAAATTGGTCACTCAACCTTCAACACGTGACACATTGTTAAACTTGTTGTCAAAAAAATTGTACTTGTAGCATGGTTGTATCTAGAAAGACATTTCATTTCAAACATGACATTTCTCTACACTTGAAATGTCGTTCTCGACATTTCTGTGTTAATGCAAAAAATAGCATTAATTGTATTTTGACATCTTGTCATTTGCAATAAATGGAGTAGGTTATGTGTCAAGATTTTATTAGCCCATATTTTTTTTTGTAAAAATGTCCATTTTATTGTCCTTGAATGGAATCATAAATTGTTGACCATGGGTATTTTGGTTTAAAATATACCAAAATGGCCATTTTTGCAAGGATTTTTGAAAGTTGTCATTTTTGCAAGTGGCTAGAAGAAAGTGAACATTTCTTGCAATTTCCACTTTTTTTTTTTAACTGTCCAATAATGTTGCATCACATGTCCTCCCCATTTTTAACCTTGTATTGAGTCTGATTGTGTAACATGATTGCATGGACAATTTTTTGACCATTTTATCTTGATCATATCTAGATTTCGGCTTCCAAATGAAAAAAACCAAGAGTACAAGGAAATTTTGCCAATGTTGATACGGCTACAAATGATTGGACTATTTTTTTTCTCTCTACACCTTCCGATCAATTCATGCGCATGTGTTGATAGTCTAAGTTTTCTGTATTTATAGCACGATTGATTCCCAATAGATCACATGTCTTGACCCAATCAATTTTTGGTTTCTCAATTTCTACATATTCATTTTCAACTACACATTCTCTTAATAAAATAATTTTTCAAGTGAACCTAATTTTTTATTTACTTTTTAATCACATATTATCCAAAAAATCATTATTACAAAAGTTATTCCCCCAAAAAATTAGGCTCAAACAAACCCTTATATAAGCTCTTTAAATTTTTTGTCTATAAACTTTATATAAATATATAGAAGTCAATATTAAGATACTAAAAAACGTAAGGTGGGTAAAAAATAGAAAAAAAAAATTAGATTTATATGTAAAATTATTTCATGGATGAATGCGTGGTTGAAAATGAATTATTGAAAAATTATTTTTGGGGAAAATGGGGCTCAAACAGGGGGCCAAGATTAACTTTACGAATTTTGAAAATTATCAATCAAGATATTATAGAGTAATTAAAGAATTAACATTATTATGTATATAAAATTTAAATACAATATGTTTTATATATAGAATATTGAAATGTTAACTTAATAATATGTACGTTCTTAGAAGTAACCATAGAATAATGTTATTACATAATGTTTTTCATCATTTGATACTAATCTGATTTAAGTGTTAATTTTATGAATGCGCGTTCCCAAATTAAAAGGTAGATTACTTTTTGAAAATAGTAATAAAAACAAGATATCATTAATCACTAATATAATAGTTTTTGGATGTGTCTTTTCTTCATTCATGAATATGGGGAAATTTGTAGCAGAATTCTGAACCTTTTGAAACTGTTAGGTTTCATACTCAAATTTTTTCTTTATTTCTTAATCATATATTTTCCATCAATCTACTATTTTAAAATGCATTCTTAAAAAAAAAAATGAGACTCAAACAAACGAAATATGCATCGGAAAGACATCTGAACACTTTATGTAAAACAACTAAAAATGAATAAAAGAAATAAGAAAAAAAGGGAAAATAGGTCATCTTCTCCCACCCACCTAACCTTCCACCACCAGAAACCCAGGAGACCCTCCATTGTCTCCACCACCGTCCTAACCACCCACCTGAGATGGAAAAAATACTACCAAAATATCTGTGTTGTTTTTTTTTTTTTGGTCAAATTGCACCCTAGATTTGGGGCGATTTTGAGAGTCGAAAAACCATGGAAAATCTCCTTGGTTTTCTCGAATCTGGGGTGCGATTCTGCGAATCAACTGGAGATTTCCCTCAGTATACGAAGTTTCACCTAAAATGAAGCATGTTAGACGTACAACATAGTTTGTAACTTGGTTTACAATCAATGAGTTGATAGAGATTCACACCCCCCCATGTTGCTCTTTTCTTTTTTTCTTTTAGTTTTTATCTTTTTATCTTTTTTATCTTCTTCTTCTTTTTTTTTTTTTTTTCCTGTTAT